CCCCATCCCCTACCCCAGTTATAAAATAGTAATTACCTGTTACTGTTGCTGTACATCTATACAATACCACACATTTATACACAAACTGCATATTTTTGTTAAGTGTTAAATGTTAAAATGCTACTCACATGTATGCCATATTCATGCTTGAACACAACTTTTATTCCTGTAAGCCCCATTTAATTATCTTTACAAGCACTGTGCCACACAGTCATATTTTCATAAGAATGGTCCTGTATATTTTTCATTTCAGTTCCACAAGTGCTAAAGCTTGGAAAAAGCTGGCACATTTTGGGCACAGCTACACTGAAAGGGGATGACAGCTGAAGATGAAGAAGATGAAGCAGAGTGCAAAAAACAGACAGGTTTAAGAAATTAATGGGCAATATTCTGTCCACTTTCTACAAACTAAGCAATGCCTCCGTAAGCTTTTCTCTCTCCACCAAGACTGTCCTTCAACAAACAACCTTGCAAGATTTATGTGCGCCAAGAGAAATCAGCATTTCTACTTCATTTTCCTTTTCTTTCCTTTTTTTTCACAGCTATAATCTACATCATAAAGCTGTTTGATCACATGTTTAATTTTAAAGTGCTGACAAAGGCTTATCTAGTGAAAGAAACAAGCTGATTTTATTGAGAAAATTGACCTCAGGGTCTTACAGCAGCTATTAACAAAAGCAGCCGCACAGTCAATAGACATTTGTAGTTGTGGTCTGTTCCAATAGCTTGTGCCCTCTTAATGAGGAGAGGAAGGGTTGAAAGGTGAAGTGTGTCTGAAGGTCAAGATGCAAGAAAATGGTCATGTCTCCAAAGGGACAAATGAGTCATATAAATCAATAGCAGGAATAAATAGGCATTAACACTGTGGCCAAGTCTTTGGGGATAAACAGTTACTGTTGGATTGCATGCTTTCATTTCCATGTAGAATACATTATGAGTAATGCAACCAAGGTCAATATCTCCACTGGCAAGAGCACAAGCAGTTTCCAACACCTCATATATTGGCCTTGGTACAACAACAGAAATGAATAACCATATCTAGTAAGTCAAGGGTATATCCATGGAAATGTCATGAGAAACATATTTTTAAAATATTTATCTGGTTTGAAATATATTTTGGTTTTAAAGACAACAGTTTTGCACTGTTACAGACCATATTTTTGACATTAAAACTGACTCAGTTTACTAAACAGGCACAAAAAGTAAAGCAGGAGAGAAGTCATTACTGTTTTGGTTCACTGCATTTGCATTTACATGACTTTCCTGCACAAAGTGCATAATACTTAGATAGAGATTCTTTAATGAGCCGCTCTTTCAGTTCATCAAGGCTGATATTAATTACTGACTTTGTTAGTGCACATGTTATTTATCGCCAATGAAAAGCTGGAGTTATTTTTGGCCACGGGTGTCATCAGACTTTGGCTGATGGGTCTAGAGCTCCGAATGTTTTTACACCACAACATTTTATAGATCATCATTTGCACAGTTGCACTCAAGCAAAAAAAAATTTGCAAGTGTCTGGATGTACTTCCGATATGCGGTGTAAGTCCTAGTTCTCATGGGAATAGCTGTCAATTACATATGTTGTGTGTGTGCAATAGAACAACATTTCCGATCAGTCCAAGTTAATTAGTTACATTTGGGGGAGTTGGGGTGAGGGGATCTTTTCAGATAGTTCAGAGATTACTTCTGTGACAAACTCAGAACCGCTTAAAGGTCCCAAATCACCTGAATCCAAGTAATGGAATGAAACATGCAATATTTCCATAGGTACAATATTTTGTTAGCCCTCCAACAAAACAGAAACCACACTTACTCCCTAAACATTCAGGTTGTCGCTTTTTATCCTGGTCAGAATTACAGTGGATCTGGAGCCTGTCCTGGGAAAACTGGGCATGAGGTGGGCCAATTTAATATGAATTGCGCAGGTAATACAGAGTGGACACATTACTACTGGTGTGTACTTGCACCAGTATTAATATGAGGCATAGCACTCCTGCCAACAATAAAGCAGCATCTTGCATTTAATATGAACTAAGAATGATCAGATAACAGAGCAAACAAAATAAATAAAGACAAAAAAATAAAGACAAAAAAAATAAAAAGACCTCACAATCATATGTTGAAAGTCCTGCAGGGTTGTTAATAACCATAGTTATTTAAAACCTTGTGTGATAGTGAACAGGTCTATCTAATGAAAAGTCCAGCAAATATGAATGGGTACATGTGTCAATCAACATGGCATGTGAATTGGCTGAGGATCATGGGTGTAGAAGTTTGCCATTTCAGTGGTGACAGGTGCCATTACTGACATGACATTATCACCAAATATGTAATCTAAAACTCATATTCTATGGCTTCTTTTCTCCTCACAGCCAGAGTGCTATCCTGTAACATGCAAAGGATGAGCATTTTCTCTTCCAGTGAAAGCAACAGGTCAGTTTCAGAAGGCACACATATGAACTCATATGTGACTGGAAATAGACTGGAAATAGAAATGTGCAGTATACTGTCCTTAATTAGCAGGTAGCTTTAAAGGTGTTTAAATGTGATATACACAATGATGAAAGCATTAGCAGCAACCTTTTCAGAGCATATGAATATATTAATACTCAAGTGTGACATTTAAAAAGCATTTGTAGGCTATAACAAATACTGCAATGTCCTTCCCTGCATGCACAAGTAATACATCCAAATGAAGTAGTATGAATAAAGCTGAAGGTTCAGTGAGTGAATATTATAAACCAAAGCAGCAACAAATGTGGGGTCACCATATTAAATTCTAATTAGGATTAACAGAGGATTAAGAGAAGAATAATGCTGCGTTTGACGCATGGTCACAATTTGACGCATGGTCACAATTGTAATTCCTTACCTCCAACCAGAAAAAGCCAGAGAAAACACCCCCTCAACTTGAAATTCCTACTCATCATCTGGGGGTAGTCTTTTCAACTATGAGTTCCATACCAGCTCATGGAGTGACGTCAAATCAACATGGCGTCAGAAGCATCAGCCTCAGAAGTAAACAAAGTAGCATTTCTTACCTTTAAATGATTTATACTGTATATACAAGTATCTAGATGAATCACTAACAGACTTCACTTGTTAAATATATATACAATTGACTATAGAGTTTATTGTTTTGAGTAGGAAAATATACAGCACTCATTACATTTAGCTGGCTAGTTTGATGCTAACAAAAGACAATCATGGAGGCATCTATGTTTTTTTTTTTTTTATTCCAGTTCATCTGTCAAATGTGCCAAAGTCAAAAAAGAAGTCATTCCAACCGGCGAATTACAAGCTGAGTCAAACACAGCAGCTTATGGTTAGGGCATGAACTCAAAATAGATAGTATGACAGAATATCGATTCATCTTTTCTATACTATATCACAACATTTATGTCCAAAGGTGTTTTCTGCAAGCGGAGATGTTAGCACTGACTGTGTGCCACAGAGTTGTCCTTGATATCTATTATTATCTCTATATCAATATCTCTGTTGACCTTGGGGTCCTAAATTTTCCCATTTACATTTTACATTCAAAGCGTTTGGTAGATAGCCTTATTCAGAGTGACTAACAGAAGTGCTCTGTAATATCTATCAAAAACATATCTTCAGGCTAGATGAAACAGGCCAAGGTCTAAGAATCCTGTACAGCAAGAAAAGGGCATGTCATTTTTTTTTTAATTAGTGTTCATTTAAGTGCTTGGTAGAGGTATGTGTTCAGTCTTTGTTTAAGGATAACCAGTCTCTCAGGTGTTCAGACAGCCAGGGGAAGTTCTTTCCACTACCTGGGTACCAGAACAGAGAAGAGTCTTGATGCAGGTCTTCTTTTTATCTTAAGGGATGGTGGGTCATGTTATAGTGGGGAGGATGGTTGATCCCTGTTAGAGGCTTGAGGGGAAGCTGGTGCACAGCACAGTTTGCAGTGCCTTGCCCCAGCACCGCCCACACAAATTGTATTGTTTTATACTTATTACATACTTTCATGCAGTGTAATTTGGTACTGTGCTTGCAGCATGTCTAAGAAATATAGAGGGGTTTGCTTATATAAATCCTTATCTGGCAGTTTAAAACCCCATGCTAAATAGGGCTGAAAATAAGTGTACTTTTTGTGTATGTTTTCCTTTTTTGGAAGGGATGTAGCAAACTTCTTAAAGTGTTCACTAAATAGTTAAATATCCTTTTTATATATCATATTATTGTAACCCTAACTATTTAGCTAGCAATGTAATGTGAGTTAAATGAACAGCTTTCATCCTATAAACTAGTTAGTTAGCCACTCATTATTTCATTTGAATTACAAGAAGCTTTAATGTGAGAGTAAGAAAAATAAACTAAAATTCAACAATGTAGCATTTACTTTTACCAGGCATTTACCTGTTTCTCTTCTTCTATAATACTTTTTCAAATTTGTTTCTCTTTCAGGAAGAAATTGCACAGACAAACACTGGCTGTAACCCCACAAAAACAGATCAATCAGGGAGCTGCAGAGCCTCCAATAAATGGAGGATCATTGTTTTAGTGTTTGAAAATATATTTTGCCTTTCAAGAATTTTTCAGTGCCAGAATGATCTTAAACATGGTTCTGGAGTCAGTAATCATCTGCTTTCAGTGAGTTTTGAATAAGCAGGCTGCTTCCACAGATAACACACTGTACACAGTTCTTCTTCTTAGGTGGTCACTCTGCTGACTAGCATGTGTTTTCCTTCATTGTAGCCCAAGTGCTTTTATTAACAGAATACCCACACTGCTCCAGGATATATCATTTATCGTCATGCATAATCAAAAGTCTGGAATGACAAAATTCATGGCACCTGAGTCTCAACAGTGGGGACAAAAGCTTTCAGCGCTCAGTGAGAAGTTTTTAATGCTTCATTCATCAAGAAAGCAAATAAGTAAAGGTATATCACATGTGATTTGCAACATTTGCACACATTTCAGAATGATTTTATGTGCTCATATTTTACAGTGATAAGAAATAACACAAATTGGGGGCAGTCGTGGCCTAATGGATAGAGAGTCGGACTTGTAACCCGAAGGTGAACCCGAAGGTGAACCTGAAGGTCGTGGGTTCGAGTCTCACGTCCGGCAGGGATTGTAGGTGGGGGGAGTGAATGACCAACGCTCTCCTCCACCCTCAATACCACGACTGAGGTGAGACCCTTGAGCAAGGCACCAGACCCCCAACTGCTCCCCAGGCAAAAAAAAGGCTGCCCACTGCACCGGGTATTCACGGTGTGTGTGTGTGTGCGCGCACTTGGATGGGTTAAATGCAGAGCACAAATTCCGAGTATGGGTCACCATACTTGGCTACACTTCACTTCACACACTTCATTAAATGTCTATTAAAAATTGTGTGAAAATCTTTCTTAGCGTTATCATGTTTCATAAGAACATCTCCTCACATCTCCGCAACATTTCTAAGTTTATTTTGCAGTGGAACTGAGTAACAGTTGCATATGTTTACTTTGGTATGGCTGATTATTAAATCAGCAGGCAATGAGGAAAGCAGGAAAACTGCAAGTGAGAGGCAACAGGGAGGAATGTTGGGTATACTTCTGTGAGTATTCAAAGTTAGATTTGAATATTTTATGATTTTCACTGTCTAACAATAGGTCTCATTTATAAATCGTTAGTAATGTTGTTTGGAAATGTTTTTGTGGGCCAAAGTATACTAAAATTATTCCCACCAGATTTGCAACATTTTTGGTAATGCTTATTTTCTAAATGCCTTTCACCCATAAATTACCAAACACATTCACAGCACAGCTGATTTACAGTCACTGATGCCCTCAAATCTCTTTAAAATTACAAAAAAGATGAATAAATGGCAAAAACACATCCTAAATATGGTGTTCTCTAAATCTTTCAGTAATGCATCTTAGCCATTGAAACATGTCAGCTACCACACACATACACTATTTCTAACTCCTAACTCTCCAACTCCTTTTACAGAGTTCCATTTCTTTTGTCTTAATTGAAAAGGTAGTCTTATCTGACTTAATTTATAGATTTATTTTGGATTATTTCCTTTCATATATTTCATATAAAAGTCATGTATGAAATTAACTAGTTTCACAAAATGTTCATTAAATGTGTGTGCAATTGAAATAAAAATGAATTAAAACTCTGGAGCTTTCATAGCATATGAACATTTTTCTGAGCTAACTGGATTTTCATGAATACATGAATGCACAAATGCATTCGTATCCACTTTCAAGGTGCCATGTCTGCAGTAAACTAAATAAAGTTCTTAATGAAAAAGATGCTATTGGAGCGATTAATATGTCTCTTTTTCTGTCATCGGGTAAACAGCTAATAGTGATTTCTTTCTGTAAGGCGTTATTTCTATTTCCCAGTGAACCTCTCAACATTTTTCAGATAGTTCAATTTAATTCAATTCAACTTTATTTGCATAGTGCTCCTATCAAGAGACATTGTCAAAGAGCAGCTTTACAGACATTCATATTTAGATTTAGATCCCTAATGAGCAAGCCAGAGGTGACAGCGGGAAGAAAATCTGCCTGTGACAACTTAAAAGCGAATCCTGTTCTGTGTGATGCCAAATAGTAGCATTACAAATCAGTACAGCTGTAGTAGAGTGAAGGGAAACAGTAATAAATATGTTGAAATGATGTTCAGTATGAGCATATTATTAATAGTCCTGGAATAAGCACAGGACAGCCTTTATGATTACAGTAGCAGTACAAATCTACAGTTTACAGGTGTAATCACTGACTGAAGCAAGGGTCAATCTTTAACATAAACTGTTTTTGGAAGTGCACATTTTTTGGGTGTCTGTGTGTGACCATCCACAACAAAAAACTGCAGAACCCCAAGCAGAAATAGAGCATCAGGATGAGTCAAGCAGGTATGGAGGGAGAGAGAAGCCACAGCAATAGAAGTGTGTCAGGATCCGGCAGCAGGAGCACACATACTACCCAACAGATGGAGAGAACAGATTATTAGGTAAGCTCTTATCGTGTAGTGGTTTAAAAGGGTGTACATTGTGATACGCTTTTTAAACCACTGCAGAAAAGCATAAAGTAAGATAGTTCATATGTGGTACACTCTCTGGCAGGATATCCTTCAATATGTAAGAAAAGAGGCTTTCTTTCTGTAGAAAAAATATCCTTAGCCCAAGCTGAACTGAAATTCAGTTCCTCTCTGATACATCAAAGAACAGCTCCAGTCACATTTTTAAAGTTGAAAGCACATCAGAAAACTGTCTTTCAAGCTGGGTCTTCTGGTTTGAGATCAAGAAATCTCCAAGACAAAGAAGCTGCCAAGGTGGCAGTCAGTTCAGGAAAAAGTTGCATTCATTCATGGGAGTTTTCACCATTGCCACACTGTGCAGAATGCTGAGGAGTGCCAAGAGCCAAAGCTCCTTTATGTTTCCTACCCTCATGGCTTTGGGATTATGTTATGTATCTCATTCATGTCCCAGTTCCAGTTCCATCTCCTGCTTTGTCTTTGTCTCCCACCAGCCTGCTGCTGCCTGCCACATCATTAGCCAGTCAACACTGTGTTTTGCTCTGTTTGTTTCTATCTATATTCTCTGTCCATTTGCTTAATACCATAGTCCGTTATTTCATAACTGAGATATTCCCATCCTTTCAATTTTAAAATTATCTACTTAGTAATCAATGAATAAAATTATTACCTTAGTATTATATCATATAGTCAGTTCATGTATATTTCTAAATAGTCACTCACTGGAAAGCGGGGATTGGCTGCATTTTGGTTAGGGAGTTATTCTGTCTATCTCATTTTATATGGATGCACCAATCTGACTAGTTTACTGATCTGATACTGACATTCCCTTAGCAACCAAACTGCGTCCCTGCAAACTTTGATATTTCTTATATTAAATATCAGAATACTTTAAAAACAGGTTAAGCCCTCTGTTCACGTGAAAGTCCTCATTTCATCTGATACAGCTAATGTTTTCACTGCAGCATGAATTATTTGTGCTACAAATTCTGGGAGCTTGGCCAGGCAAAATGGCTGGCAGGGAGCTCCTTTCCCTAGATTCAGAGAACAGTCACATTGTCAAATGATGGATTTGATCTCAGGAGATCACCCTGGAAATGTTTGAACAATGTTTTGGACAAATGCTCCATGCTAATTTTTCTTACTGCTGCACCAAACACATCAGGCCCACATAACATTTTATGGCTCATTGAATCTTACAAAACTTGATGACTGTTTATTGGCGTAGGGGCCAGAAGGAAATGAGGGTAGCAACTCAATTATAGCACAGCTTGGAAGAATCCTATGATTCCAACTCTGCCAGATATACCAGCTGAATGCTCCACTTTGCCCTTTCCATCCTACTGAGTCTTATAGCCAGAGCCAACACAATGACAAAACCTTTGCACAGTGTTATAAACAAATATGTGATGCAGCAAATATAATATACAAAAATAACTAAGAAATTTGTTGAATCCAGCATGTCAATATCATTGCATCACTGGTTTAGAGGGCATGACTCAATGGCTAATTTAAGACAATATGGTCAAATACTTGCTAGAAAAGTTTTAGGTGGAGTTATTGAAGTTATGGAGTTAATTTCCAGATTTAGCCACTGCCATAGAAAATAATCAAACAAGTAATTTTGACTGATTTAAAGACAGCCTTCAATGCAGTCATCCATCCCATAACCTACAAAAACAAAGCAATGTTGTATAGTCAGTTGAACCAGAATTTATACTGTATGTTACACATAAGTGATACATGAGCATCCAACCCACACCTCTTCCAACTCAGTACCTTTCTAGAAGAATAGAGCAATGACAAGCTTCATTTTTAGTCAAGAAAACTAATGCCCATACATACAACAATTTTAATGGAACATGGGAGCTTAGGACAGTGGAAACTAAATTACAGATGATTACAACACATGAGACGGGGCAGTGGAACAATGAACACACAGCACATTTATTTTGGGTCTATTCACTTAGCTCTGCGACTATGTGTTGCGCAACCATAACACTGTTGTAGATTATATTAGTGTCATAAAAGGTAGACTGAAGCAGATGCAAATGCCGTTAGAGTTTATTAAAAGAGCTGGCAAACAAATCCAAATCATGAGGCAAAAGACATGAACAGGAAACAGGCAATAGTCAGGTGATAAGCAAATCACAATAACAGGGCAAATCCAAAATCCAAAAACCAGGTAGCAAAGCAAGACAAAAACCAGAATATCAATACACAGAAAGAACAACTTGCTAAGGTCAGGTAAGCACACAATGAGTGTTACTTCACATCGAGTGAATGTTTGTCAGTCCTATTTTATGTGCTGGGTGTGACTGGCAACAGGTGTGCATGAATAGAAGTCTGGTGACTGTGAATGTGACCGAGTTCATGGGTTTTGGGAAGTGTAGTCTGGGGCAGCCATGTTTGTAGGCTAAGGTGCATTCTGGGAAACAATACCGGAGTATTGATCTGACAGAGCCCCCTTCGGCTCACTTCAGGAGCACTGTTCTTCCTAGGCCTCCCCTTAGGATGAGGCCCTAGGCCTTTTGGATGACTGGAGTGGAGCTCAAGATTCAAGATTCAAGGCTCTATATTTGTCACATACATATTACATACATGTGATGTAATGTAGTGAAATGTTTTTGGTGGTGTTGGTGGTGGTGTAGGGGGGAATGTTGGTGGCCAGTGGTCCAGGTATGACGGGTTTCAGGTGTGAGACATGAAATGATGGTGCTATTCGGCAGTGTCATAGTAAGTTGAGTTTGTATGTGACCTCGTTGATTTGCTTCAGGATCCTTTATGGACCGATGTATCTGGGGTTTAGTTTCTGTGGGTTTCTAAAGTCCTTGGTAGGCCAGCCAGACTTGCTCTCCGGGTAGATAACGTGGGGTTTCCCCTCGATGTCGATCTGCATTCTCTTTATTGGTTTGTCTCTTTACTTGTTCTAGGTGCCAATGTGTGCTTTCCCACACCTGTTCACTCTCCTGGTTCTTGACACAGAAGGTTCTGAGGAAACAGCTGATTTCTTGGTTGGCTCTCTCCTCCTGCCTGTTGGTCTGCAAATGGAACCCCGAGGTTAGACTCATAGTCACACCCAGTTTTTCCATGAAGCT